CTACTGCACCGTGGCCAACACTCTTTTTTTTTTTTTTTTTTTTTTGAGACTGAGTTTCGCCCTTGTTACCCAGGCTGGAGTGCAATGGCGCGATCTCGGCTCACCGCAACCTCCGCCTCCTGGGCTCAGGCAATTCTCCTGCCTCAGCCTCCTGAGTAGCTGGGATTACAGGCACGTGCCACCATGCCCAGCTAATTTTTTGCACTTTTAGTAGAGACGGGGTTTCACCATGTTGACCAGGATGGTCTCGATCTCTCGACCTCGTGATCCACCCGCCTCGGCCTCCCAAAGTGCTGGGATTACAGGCTTGAGCCACCGCGCCCGGCAACACTCTTATTTTTAAGAAGTGAGATAAACAGGAGATAAATAGGACCCTTAGAATGTGAGATTTGGCTGATCTCGTTTATCATCTGGAGGTCCTTGAGTCTGGAATAATAACTGTCTCATCAGTCACCCTACAGTGACAGGTTCTGTTTATGTACATAGAGCTTAGAATTCATTTTCCTGACTCCTCTTCCCTTTAAAAATTTTGAAGTAATAATCAGATAACCTAAAAGTAACCATTTAAAGTATACAATTCAGTGGCATTTAGTACTTTCACAGTGTTATGCACCTATCATCTTCATCTTGTTCCAGAACATTTTCTTTTCTTTTTTTTTTTAATAAAGACAGGGTTTTACCATGTTGGTCAGGCTGGTCTTGAACTCCCGACCTCAGGTGATCCTCCCGCCTTGACCTCCAAAGTGCTTGGATTACAGGCGTGAGCCACCGCGCCTGGGCCAGAACATTTTCATTGCGTCAAAAAACAGTGACTCATGTCTGTAATCCCAGCACTTTGGGAGGCCGAGGCAGGCAGATGACCTGAGGTCAGTAGAGATCATCCTGGCCAACATGGTGAAACCTCGTCTCTACTAAAAAATATAAAAATTAGCCGGGCATGCTAGTGGGCACCTGTAATCCCAGAATACTTGGGACTCTGAGGCAGGAGAATCACTTGAACCTGGGAGGCAGAAGTTGCATTGAGCTGAGATTGTGCCACTGTACTCCAGCCTGGACAACAGAGCCAGACTCTGTCTCAAAAATTTATTTTTGTATTTTTTGGTAGAGGTGGGGTTTCACCATGTTGGCCAGGTTGATCTTGAACTCCTGAACTCAGGTGATCCATCCACCTTGGCCTTCCAAAGTGCTGGGATTACAGGTGTGAGCAACCACGCCTGGCCACATATACATACACATATATATATATATATATAAATAAAGTATGAGTCATTGGTGGCAAGCAAAAAATATATTTGTGCTTGATATATGAACATTCTCCTTTGGCCCAAGGATTAGTGACATTGGAACCACAGTGAAGAAAATGCAATTCTGGATATGAGTAGTGTCCTAAAGCTACAAAGGTAACTGATAGAGGAACTAAAAATAGTGATTTATGTATCAAAAAATTGGTTTATATATCAAAAAGTTGAAAAGGGGAGATAGGGAGCAATTTAAGTAAGTTACATATTCTAGAGAGTTAGAGGTATACTCAGTGATGTTGGTGACAACCAGAAGAACATTAGAGAAATGACTGGAAGAGATTTCTCCTAGATAGGAAGACCTGGTGGTGGCAAAAAGGAATAAAAGGAATGAGGTGGTAGTGTTGTTTCTTTTCATTAAAATGCCTTTTATGTTTTATGAACCATTGATTTTTCTTTTCCTTTTTTTTGGAGATGAACTCTCACTCTGTCGCCAAGGTTGGAATGCAGCGGCATGATCTCAGTTCACTGCAACCTCCACCTGCCGAGTTCAAGTGATTCTCCTGCCTCAGCCTCCCAGGTAGCTGGGATTACAGGCATGTGCAACCACACCCAGCTAATTTTTTTTGTTTTTGAGACGGAGTCTCACTCCATCACCAAGGCTGGAGTGGAGTTGCGTGATCTTGCCTCACTGCAACCTCTGCCTCCTGAATTCAAGAATTCTGCTTCATCCTCCTTACAGATAACTGGGATTATATGTGCCTGTCACCATGCCCAGGTAATTTTTGTATTTTTAGTAGAGGCGGGATTTCACCGTGTTGGCCAGGCTGATCTTGAATTCCTGACCTCAGGAGATCCGTCCACCTCAGTGTCCCAAAGTGCTGAGATTACTGGCGTGAGCCACTACGCCCAGCCCAGCCTCAACTGATTTTCTTTGTTCCTTGGCCATTCCGATAGGTTAAGAATTATTTCCGAGTAAACAAGTACTTCCTGAATTTCTAATGTCCTTTTAACTTCCAGGTAGATCCTGGGAGAGATGGGGGAAAAAGATAGTTTGACCTCTTCTTTTTCTTTTTTCTTTTCTTTTTTTTGGAGACAGAATCTCTGTTGCCCAGGGTAGGGGGGGCAACCTCCACCTCCTGGGTTCAGATGATTCTCCTGCCTCAGGTTCCTGAGTAGTCGGATTACAGGTGGCCATCACCATGCCCCGCTAAGTTTTTTTTTTTTCCCTAAAGGCAGAGTCTCATTGTCACCCAGGCTGGAGTGTAGTGGCGTGATCTAGGCTCACTACAACTTCCACCTCCCAGGTTCAAGTGGTTCTTCTGCCTCAGCCTCCCAAGTAGCTAGGACTACAGGCATGTGCCACCATGCCCAGCTGATTTTTGTATTTTTAGTAGAGATGAGGTTTTACCATATTGGCCAGGCTGGTCTTAAATCCTGACCTCAGGTGATCTGCCCAAGTTGGTCTCCCAAAGTGCTAGGATTACAGGTGTGAACCACTACGCCCATCCAGCCTCTTCTTTTTCAAATAACTTAAAGATCTCTCTGTCTTTAATATCTGCCCCCTCCTTCCACTTTTTATTTTTCCGATACATCCACTGAAGCACCTCTTTATTTCGCTCTGTTGAAAAATTTAAAGTGGATTCTCCAGGCTCTAGCCTTATTGTTCTCTCTCCCTAACTCATATACTTGATTTTAGCCTCCTCCAGCCTACTGACAGCATCACCACTCTTCTTGCAACCCTTGAGAGACTGCTGAGCCCTCCGTCTTTTTTTAACCTGTCTCAGAGAAGCTGTGTCTGGCCTCACTTGCATCCCTGTGCATCCCTGAGGGCTTAGAAGGCCTTGGCACCTTCATACACTCTTGCAGTGGATATGGGTGTGTGGTGACAAGGCTGGACCACAGGAAACAGGCAGAGAGTTGTATTGGTGTATGGGACCTAATGCTAGCACAGGTATTGTTCCAGGTTCTTGGGTTTGGCAGACAGGGAGTCAGGCAAAAAATTTCTGCCCTCAATGAGCTTTCATTCTGTTCCGGTTTATGGAGTTTTACATAAACAGAAAGGTTTTTAAAATAGGGTTATATGTTTTGAGCATAAACGGTATCAAAGGATAGCAGTCAGTGAGATAGTAGCTCTGTCATTAAAACATGCTTTTGGAATCTGTGGCTTTTTCATTAAGGTGTGCTGGTCTCTGAAGCGCCAACCCTTTAGAGAAGGTGGTACTACCATAGAGCATTGTTTGAAATAATTTTTGGACAGGATGGGCTATGGTACAGGAATGGAGACTCAGCTTTTAGTCCTACTGTGCAATTCATTTGATATCAGCTCCCATCTGCATTCCTTTTGGTTGTGGTTGCTGGACGTAATCTGCCTATGTGGCATTCCGCTGGAAATCTGTTAGAAGTCTAGAAGGGGCAATAACTGGCCAGGCACGATGGCTCATGCCTGTAATCCCAGCACTTTGGGAGGCCAAGGCTGGTAGATCACCTGAGGTTGGGAGTTCAAGACCAGCCTGACCAACACGGAGAAACTCCATCTCTACTAAAAATAAAAAAAAATAGCCAAGTGTGGTGGCGCACGCCTGTAATCCCAGCTACTTGGGAGGCTGACGCAGGAGAATGGCTTGAACCTGGGAGGTGGAGGTTGTGGCGAGCTGAGATCGCACCATTGTACTCCAGCTTGGGGAACAAGAGTGAAACTCTATCTCAAAAAAAAAGGGGGGACAATAACCAGCCCTTTGTATTAATTACTTCTCAGGTTTACATTAAATAAATCCTAAAAGATATGCTGGCTGGGATTTACTTCACGATAATCTGGAGGGAATTGGGGAGGGCTGGAATGGAGACACAGTGGGTCTGGTGACCAGCTGGTTAATGGATTTCATTATACTCTTCACTTTGGTAGATGTTTGAATTTTTTTATAATTAAAAAAAAATGTGCCCTCATGGTCAAGGAATGATTAATATTTTTACATTATTACATTTTTGCATAAATAACCTTATATTGAGTGAGCTCTTTGGTATTTTTGGTATTGATTTTAATGATTGAAGTCTATAGCCGTTAGGACTGAATCAAGGTTAGGCTAGTGAGAAGTCTTCAAATTTGTGTTTATTAATAAGATTTAAAAAGATATGTAACATTTGGGTGCCTCAGTTACAAGTCAGCCCTCCCTCCTTGTCCCTGTAAAAAAAAGTAGAAGGGGCAAAGTTATGATCAGTTGCCAGAGAGCAGGCCTTTTAGAGGCTGAGAATATTTAGGTGTGAAGTATGGGAGAAATGAAATCCTACCACTTAAATTAGGCTTCAGGGGTAAGCCTTGTTTAGGGTCAGAAGCCCTATGAGACACCATTACCATCACCAATGCTTGTGCTCATTTTGCCCCATTGTAGGCTGGTGTTTATTTATTCCTTTGTCTTTGTGCTTTAACCTTCTTTCTTCCTCTTGTCCCTTTAGTACTTCTTGCCTCCCTCCATATCATCCCTTGTCCCCGGACCCAAATCCATCCATCTTGGTCTCTTTAGGCTGATTTTCTGATACCATGTCCCTTTCTAGCCCAGGCCCAGAAGCTGGCCCACAGTTTACTCCTTTTCTTCATTTCTGCTTTTTAGTGAGTGACCACTATTGTCTGTTAACAAAAGTGATTGAACCACGAAATAGCAGGCTGAGGCATGAAGACCCATTCATGTAGCCTTAAAAGATTTCAGGCAGTTGGCAAGTAAGAATTCTAAATAAAAATTGAAACTACCACCTGTATTTTTTCAGGCCGTTGATGCTCACTGCCATCAGCTGCATCCTCCCTATGGCACTGGTAAGTGTGGGAAGGGCTGGTGACAGTTTTGGTGGGCTGCTGGATTTCTTTTTTCTGGGGTAAAAAATCTATTTGCAAGCTATGTTGTTAATTTGCCCTGAGGGCTGGAGAGCTTGAACCAGCTAGAGGGGACTAAAAAGATAAAGAAGCAATTCATCATGTTCATGGATATCCTTGGGGAACTGTTGTCAGGAGCAGGGGCTACTTAGCATGTGCCTTGATCCATATATAAAATTAGTATGTTCTATGACACTATTTAGAATAATAGACATGTACTATCCATGTGCCCTAGGATGTCAAATAATAACTGTTAAATTTCCTGGAACTCTCAAAATGTTTTTTTCTGAAGATAGATGTTGGTTGTGTACTAGAAAGGGTCCTGAATGTCATATGTGCTTACCATTTCCTTCAGTAGCATGATTTATCTCTCTCTGGTATTTTAAGTTCTTTGTGGTCAGGGGAGTCAAATGTTTGTTGCAATGGCCAGTTTAAACTTCTGATAGAGACTTACTTGAATGTGGTTGTGGGGAAGGGATTTGGTAGAAATCAGAAAATAAATTTGTGGCTGTTATTTACTAACAAACTTCAGGTGGACTTGGGATTTGTGATTTGAAAAATATCACAATTCTGCTTACACTGAACAAAGTTGAAACAGCAAGTCGCAGAATTTTTAGTCTAAGTCCACAAGCAAATTGCTATTGGAGTTGCCTTATTTAAGATCCTGAAACCCTGCAGTCTTATCCTTGTAGCAAGTAGGTCAGAGGACACAGATTCATAAGTTTTATCTTAATAAGGTAGTCTCCGTTCTAAGCTGACAGTTTGATTTTGACAGTTTTCTAGTCTAACACCCTTAGGCTGTGGAAGAAAGTGCCTCCAGAACATCTTACAAAATGCTGAGATTGTAGATTTGTATACTGCTAACGATGTCAGGAACTGCTTGCTGGTTATAACCGTGACTAAAACATTCGTATTCACTTCATTACATCTCTGTGAGAAAATCTTACCATTATTGACCCACAGCCTGGATTTCCCCTGGTCTCCATCCTCCATTCCTCAGCCCTGCTTGTGAAGCATGCATATAATTGTGTGACACATTTACTGTGTTCTTCATTTAAATACCAGAAAGGAGAACTGGACTCTCAGGCAGCTGTCTATCCTTTAGGTTTCTAGGTCAGTGTAACAAAATGGTAACTACTGAACATGTTTTGAGGACCTGTGTCAGAGAGTATTTTCCAAAGATCATGAGCAAATACCTTCTGTCATCCTATATAGAGGATGTTTGCTCATGACCTTTGGAAAATACAAATGACCATAAACAAAGCCTTTTTTGACATACATGTAGCACATGTTTCCTGAAATAAAGATCTGGAAACCTCTGAGAGTATTGGCATTGTAAATGCAATGGCAAAACAAAGCCATGTTGGATTGAGGGCTATGGATAATGCAGAGCAATGTGTAGGGTAAATGACAACAGAGGAGAGAAAGCTCATTTGAAGCTGGAAAAAAAGTGTCTTACCTGTCATGGTGCAGATTTGAAGGACTCGGGGAAAGAGGGAAGAAGGGATGTGCTTGGTCTTTGTTCAGATGCGATCTTTGACTCTGTGAAAGCCTTCTTTGGACTACCCAGAAACTTAAGGGCACTCTTCGCTATTCAGTAAACTTTCTGCTTGCCCACACTTCTCTGTGTTGCTCATACACTTTCTTCCCTAGCTCCCAGTAAAATGAGAGTTCTTATCTTTGGGGCCTAGGTTCATGCTAAGGGGGAGGCACAAATGTGATTGCCTGAAGTTAGTCTAGGGAGTGAGAAGGCAGGCCTAAAAGCGATGCCTGTGGAAAAGTGATATTAAAGAAGCTGGCTGACTGGGAGCAGAACATCCAGTGGAATACTCAGAAGCCTTGGTCAGGGAGATCAAGAAAGCCAGAGAATGTTGTAGAGTTATCAGCATTTTAGGCCTATGTGGAAATGACTTTATACTAGGCATTATTATATTGTACTCTATAGTATATATAGTCAGTTAGCCTTAGTGACATCTGTTAAAACTGTGAAGTGGTATTTGTCATTTTGAGGATTATAATAAAAAGCCAAAGTGATCTACTTGATGGAGTAATATAAGGGTCAACCTTTTGTATATTACGACATTTGATTATGTGAGTGATAGCCATTGAATTAAATTTAGCAAACTTTCTGCCCTTTTATTATGAAAAATTTAAGATAAATAACTTTAAACAGTTGTACAGTGGGCATTCATATACATACTCTCTAGATTATACAGTTGCTAATCTGTTGCTCCATTTGCTTCATCATTTATCTGTCCATCAGTCAACATCATTTTTGAAACAACTCTGTTAAAGTATTTACATGCCATTAAACTTATCCACTTAAAAATGTACAATTATGGCCGGGCGCAGTGGCTCATGCCTGTAATTCCAGCACTTTGGGAGGCTGAGGCGGGTGGAACATGAGGTCAAGAGATTGAGACCATCCTGGCCAACGTAGTGAAACCCCGTCTCTACTAAAAATACAAAAAAAATTAGCTGGGTGTGGTGGCACGCGCCTGTAGTCCCAGTAACTCGGGAGGCTGAGGCAGGAGAATTGCTTGAACCCGAGAGGCGGAGGTTGCAGTGAGCCGAGGTCGTGCCACTGAACTCTAGCCTGGCGCCTGGTGACGGAGTGACACTCTGTCTCAAAAAAAAAAAAAAAAAGTGCCATTATTTGAGTTTTATTAAATGTATACAACTATGCAGTCATTACCACAGTTTCAGTTTTAGAACTTTTCATCACCTAAAAAATTCCTTTGTGTCCATTTGTAGTTGATCCCCATTCCCAAGCAACTACTGATCTTCTGTCTCAATAGTTTTGCCTTTTCTAGAAATTTCATACAATATGTAATCTTTTGTTGCCTGATTCTTTCTCTTAGCATAATGGTTGAGGTTCATCCATATTGTATCATACGTCAGTAGTGTGTTCTCTTTTGTTGTTGAATAATGATTTTTCATTGTATGGACGTGCCACATTTTGTTTACTCATTCATTTATAAGTTGGTGGACGTTGAGGTGTTTCTAATTTTTGGCAACTATGCAGTATGCTGCTGTGACCATTCATGTCCAGGGCTTAATATGGCCATGTGTTTTCATTTCTCTTGTATAGATATCTAGGAGTGGGATTGCTGGGTCATGTGGTAAGTGTACTGTTTTCCAAGGTGGTTCTACTACTTTATATTCCCACTAGCATTAGTTTCTCTGCTTCCTTGTTAACACTTAGTATTTTAGGTCTTCTGGATTATAATCATTCTAGTGAGTATGAAGTAGTATCTTGTGGTTTTAAGTTGCATTCCCTAATAGCTAGTGTCATAAATCATTAATGTAATTAATGATCTTTGTGCTTATTTGCTATTTGTACATTTATTTTTTGTGGTGAAATGTCTATTCAAATACTTTGTTTTTTAAAATTGCATTTTGTGTCTTACTGAGTTCTAAGAGAGCTTTGTATACTTTGAATGAAGGCTTTTATTCAGATGTATGATTCGCAGATACTTTCTCCCATCCTATCATCTGTCTCTTCCTTTTTCTTTTTTTTTTCTCTTTTTTACTTCATCTACTTCTGCTTCCTTCTTTTCCATTTTCTAAATGATGTCTTTTGAAGAGTAAAAGCTTAATTTTGATGAAGTCTAGTTTATATTCTTTTTTTTTCTTTTAAGGATTGCGCTTTTAGTGTCATATAAGAAATCTTTGCCTAAACCAAGGCCACAATTTTCTTCTGTGTTTTCTTATAGAAATTTTATAGTTTTAGTTATTACATTTAGATATGTGAACTCTTTTGAGTTAATTTTTGTGTGGTATAAAGTAATGGTCTATGTTCTGTGTTTTGTTTTGTATGAATAGTTATTTAATTGTTCCAGAACCATTTGTTGAAAATACTTTTTTTTTAACTGAATTTACATTGGCACCTTTGTTGAAAATTTACCATACATGTATGAATTTCCTTTTAGACTCTGTTTTGTTCTAATGATCTATATGTCTGTCCTTAAGACAGTATCTCCACTGTCTGTATATAGCTTTATAGTAAGTCTTGAAGTCATATGGTGTAAGTCGTTCAACTTGGCTTTTTTCTTTCAAGATTGCTTTGGATATTTTGGATCCTTTACATTTCTACAGATTTTGAGATCAACTATTAATTTTATTAAAAAGCCTGTGGATTTGATTGGGATTTTCATTTTGATTGGTTTTGATTGTCGTGTTCAAAATCTGTTTTTTGCCCAGTATGGTAGCTATGTGTGGCCATTGCTCATTTGAAATATAGTTTGAATTGAAATGTGCTGTAAGTGTAAAATACACAGTGCATTTAGAAGGAAACAAAGGATAAAAAAAGCCCGGTGCGGTGGCTCACACCTGTAATCCCAGCACTTTGGGAGGCCAAGGTGGGCGGATCACCTGAGGTTGGGAGTTCAAGACCACCCTGACCAACATGGAGAAACCCCATTTCTACTAAAAATTTAGCCAACGTGGTGGCGCATGCCTGTAATACCAGCAACTCGGGAGGTTGAGGCAGGAGAATCGCTTGAACCCAGGAGGTAGAGGTTGCAGTGAGACGAAATCATGCACTCCAGTCTAGGCAACAAGAGCAAAACTCTGTCTCAAAAAAAAAAAAAAAAAGGTTATCAATGTGCTTTTATGTGTTACATGTTGAAATAATTTCAGGTATATTGGGTTAAATACAATTATTAAAATTCACCTATTTAATTTTTTAATTTGCTGCTATATAGAAATACTTTTTTTTGGCCCTTTCTTTGAATTCTAACATTTAGTTTTTATGTGTGTTTTTTGTATGTATACAAAGAAAGATGACTTTGTATCATCTTTCTTCTTCTTTTTTAAATTTTTATTTTGAGATGGCGTCTTGCTTTGTCACCCAGGCTGGAGTGTAGTAGAGCTATCATGGTTCACTGCAACCTCAACCTCCTGGGTTCAAGTGATCCTTCTACCTTAGCCTCCCAGATTGA